ATAGCTATTTGCACGACGGTCGTGTAAATAGACTTTCCATATAGTGTGCACGACGGTCGTGTATATATCATCAGCCAACTCACTATCCTTTATTTGGCTTATCGTATGAGCCAGATTATGCCAAGGAATGATCCGGACAAGAAATTTCTCGAGAACGGACAGACTGACCACAATAGGGCGCCCGTCGAGCGGGGCCCTACAGATGCTCCGATAATCTCATAATAATTTTTTTCACGAATTTACATCGTACGGTTTAATATTGAGCTCTACTAGCGATTAATGTTAATTTGTTCCTACATTGGATCGTGTCTAGATTTCGCAACTTCTTCAGCTCAAGAGTCTAATAAATTTGAACAGACAGGAGCAAACCTAGTTTACGTGGACGTTCAGAACATCAGGTGGAATCAGATGCCAAGGAAGAGTGAGCATTCCTCGTTGGTCTGACATGTTCGGGAAAAGGATAAATCCGTGTACTTTTCTCTGTGTAAATATGGCCTAGTAATATTTTGAAGTTAATGAAAGCATATGAACACCGAGTGCCAGTGCGTTTGCTATCAGACGTGGCCAGGCTTTAAAGATTAACCCCAAACCATAATATTAATTTTTTTGAAATATGAACCAAGTTAATTTTACAATTTTGTTATTATACTGAAATTTGTGTTAGCAATTGTATAGTACTTACATGTAGTGTTATATGATTATGGCAGTTGAAACAACTGATTGCTGGCCAATCTTTACAGTGTCATCCTGCAATGTCACAACCTTAGGACAACATAATTCTGTTCACCTATGATGGTGTTGAGGTGTTTCTCATGTATGAGCATGCGCAGCACAGTTAAGGCTACAGTAAGGACGCGGGGCCTTATTTTTACGGGAAATGTTTACTATGACGTCACGCATAATACAAGGTCTTCAAAATACCACAAAATGAAATTATTTGCTATTTCAAACAGCTGGATAGCTGTATACTACATACAAACTAACTATTACATGCAGTTTTGTCGTTTGTTAAATCCCACACAACAGTATATAAACGATGCATCGATCGCAATGCACTTGTCAATGTGACGTAATCTCGCAAAAATGACGCAGTTTTTACACAGTGAGAGGCCGATCAAGTCACTTTTTGTGCAATGAAGAATGTCTTTTGTTCTTTAATAAAATATTATTTGCTGTAAAATAAAAAGCCATTAACTTGGATGCGATGTCGATTTTTATATTTTATTTATAAACTGTACGTTCATTCTCCAGACAAGCGATACTGTCGTGTTTGTATGCAGATTCATTGAAAAAGTAATGGAAGTGTCCTAATAAATCGATTTATTGCAAGGGCATACCCTCAATGTATCTTGTGAAAATTTTACACATAAACTCAAGAAGCATTAAGATATTTGAAAAGTGCTGCGAACCTCTTGAAATCTTGCAAATAAATTAATTATAGCTATATTTAATGTTGTTGACCAGCAAAATATTCAACCTGACGTCCAAAAAATTAAATTTTAGCAATTAAAAAAGGAAATTTATATAGGTTCGCAGCACTTTTCACAAACTACATATAGTGTTGAAAAGGATTATAAAATAAACTAAGATTTTTAATTTGGTTATGCCCTTGCAATATTGAATTTTATAGATGACCTCTAAACTGCAAGTATAATTGCCAAAGTCATGTGACATCGACATCATATGACAAGTCTAAATAAAAAAATCTAAATGTCCCCAACATTTAAATTTAAACCACATTACATTTTTTTTATATCAGTGAATTCCTAAAAAGATTCGCCCATTCTAATAAAGTATGTATTTTTAGCTCTTCTGAGCCAAAGGCTCAAAGAGCTAATGCTATGGCCATTTGTGCGGTGTGCGTTAACTTTTTAGAATATGGGCCATAACTCACGAACCCCTTGGCCAATCAGTGTCAAATTTGTCACAGGGTATCCTTGGCCCAAGGGCTACCATTTATACTAAAATAAGGGTTGAGACCCTAAAACAAGGGGAGATAATCAGGAAAAGAAAACCAAAAGTACTGGTTGCTAAAAAATCTTCTCCAGAACCACCAGGCAGATTTTCACCAAACTTACATACAAGGATTAGGATATGTTGAAGATTAAAAATTGTTCAAGGCATGACCCTGGGGCAAAGGGCGTGGTCTCAAGGTCACTTTAAAGTTGACCTAAATTTACAATTAATAAAAACGTGTATATTTTGCTTACTATAAGGACTAGGATCATCAAATCTTGTAAGATGATGCATCTTACGACTTCACATCATGTTAACTCAAAAGTAGGTCACGGTGACCTACTTTTTAAATTTTGCGGGGATTCGTTTTCAAATTGATTTGAAGGCATATTTTGGACACTTTAAGGCCTATGATCATCAAACTTTGTCAGTTGATGCATCTTGGGTCCTCGAACACTGTCAACTTAAAAGTAGGTCACCGTGACCTACTTTTTGAACTTTATGACATCCTTTTAAAAACATTAAATCCCATTATTTCAGACACTGTGAGGTTTAGAATCATCAAATCTTGTACTTTGATGCATCTTGGGACTTTAAAACATATTTATGAAAAAGTGGGTCACTGTGACCTACTTTTTGAATTTTTCTGACTTTTGTTTTCAAATTGTTTAAATCGCATATTTTGATTACCTTCAGACCTACAATCATCAAACTTGGTCAGTATATGCATCTTGGGTCTATGAAAAATGTCGACCAAAATATAGGTCACGGATACCTACTTTCGACATTTTATGCAGGGATGTGATTTTTCCGCGGAAACGCGGATTTCCGCGAATTTGAAAGGCAATCTGATCATTTTTGAGATCAATGCAAATCCAATGAGAAAATGTGGGGGGGGGGGGGGGGGGTAGAGGTACTAAATCTTTCAAGATCGTCATGTTGATTGATATTTATAATTATCATAATAGTAAAAAATGATGATGGTGATGCATTTAATAAAATAACAGCAAAAAATGAAGGTTAATTTATATCGTTTTTCTTGTGTGTGAACGAATTGGATCTAGTTTTACCTAAGTCTGGTGTAACTTGCGTCGGTCTTTTAAACGTTTTACGAGAAGTCAATTATTGGGAGGTTTAAAGCGCATTATTGAATAAGACTGGATGAAAACGATGGAGAGCGTGGACAGGGGTGGAGATGTGTCCAGTACTGACAAAGACGTTAAAAACAAATTTCGGTGGGATTGGTTGGACTTATGTGTCCAAGTGAAAAGCAGTAATGGGAATTTCAGAGGAGTACCGATATCCGAATGGATTATAAAGATTAATTCCCCAGGAAAGGCAAAGTGTAAATTGTGTACTAAAATTCTATCATACGGCTCGAAGGGAAAGAGTGCATTGCTTGAACATTGTAACTCTGAGAGTCACATGAAATGTGCGAGGAGTGTTATAACAAACTTCACGCTTCCAGGAGTTCAAAATTTAACGAAACCTTCAGACACAAAACCACTACCTCAAGCTGTTCCCTTACCAGATAGAGTGGCCAATGCAGAGGTGAGTAAATTGAAAATAATAAATATTGTGCTTACTAGTGCAGAGAGACATGCTTCTTTAGGATAAGGGGAGCTGCCCAATCTCTCTGTTGAATTTGAATAGTAGTTTACATGACATGGCAAGTGTTTAGATGCCAGTGACAAGTTTTGAAATGCCTAACCAAAAGCTCTGGGTTCTCGTTGCAGGAAACCAGGCTATGGTGTTGGGGACACTGGCTGAGCAATCGCTTCCCATGACCATGGCTCCTGTCCTTATCAACTTAACTAAAGAACTTGCAAAAGATAGGAAAGCTTTGCAAAATCTAAGCATGGATAGGACTAGTGCATCGTACAAAATGACCCATGGTTTAGCTAAGACTATCCGTGAACGGACTTTGGAAACACTACGTACCAGTCCATTTTCATTAAATATTGATGAAGCTACATCAAACAATAACAAGCATGTATTGGCAGTTTTGGTGAGTTACTTCCTTGAATCTGAGGGACGCATAGTCTTGGAACATTTAACTTCAATTGAACTTGTTACAGTGGATACATCATCTTTGTTGAAGGCATTAGATGAAGTATTTAACTCCAATGGTATTCCATGGGTTAATGTTGTTTCTATTCTCATGGATTCATGTGCAGTAATGAGAGGTTCCAAAAATGGATTGGAGAAAAAAATCAGAGAGTCAAGAGCCCCAGATCTTATAGACATAGATGGTGACATTTGTCATCACTTGCATAATGCAAGCAAAAAGTTGTGTGCTCCATTTGATTACTGGGTGGAGTCCCTCTTTACAGATCTCCACACAGACCATCGCTGGTCTGTAGACTTGAGAGAAAAACTTGCCGAGGTCTGTGAAATACTAGGGATAAAGTTTACAACACCAGAGAGATTTGTAAGTCATAGATGGATGACTTGTTATGATATTGCTGCTGGAACACTACGGCTCTGGGATGCATATTACGTCTTCTATTTTGGATTTCTGAAGTTGGAAGATAGAAAAATTTACCAGCCTGTTATCAGAAAGATTTTAAATGACAGGAAAGTAAGTGAACCTGCAAGAGCAAAACTAGATAGTATTCACAACTACCTGAAGAAAAAGTCGATGACAAGCGATGGAAAGATGAGAAAAACAAGGATTTTTGAAAAGGTAATTTTATTTTCCATTGAAAAGTTGTAGTGGCATGGAAATTAATATGTATCATAATGGTTTATTATAATATATAGTTAAATAATTTGCTTTTGAAGGTGCTGTTCCAAGAAAAGAGAACTCTCCTGGTGTTGCATTTCTACACTTCTGTTTTCCCAATATTAAAGGAGTATGTTATGATGTTCCAAACAAAACAGCCCATGGTCCATCGGCTTTATGACTAACAGCTGGAATTATTCAAGGTTTTCATAACGTACTTCCTGAAGCCAGAGGCTTTTACAAGAAGATCTGGAAAGCAGATGAAAACTGTTGAGATTGAGGACAAAAATTTTCTCACCAAAGAAGATATGTTTTTGGGTGGAAAAACAAGAAAGTTGGTCTTATCAATGCCAAAGAAAGACTCTATCACTGAAATGTTTTTGGAAAAAGTGGTATCTGGCTACAAAAGCTGTGGCATATATCTACAGAACAAATTACCACTAGACAATAAAGTACTTAGGAGTTTGAGTGCATTAGACCCAGATGCAAGACAACATAGCTCTTTCCTAAAAGCTCTGAAAACTCTTGGAGGTATAATTCCAGCTAGACTCACAGAGGAAGAAGAGGACTGCATAGAAGCAGAAATACACAGGTATCTTAAGTTATTACCTTTGAGTTTTGCATAATAATTCCTTAATTTTTTAAATATTATGGACTCTGTATATACTTGCACTCTTACAGATTTCAAGCTGATGACTGTCTGCCTCAAGAAACAGAAAGAGTGGATTCCTGGTGGGGGATTATAAAGAAATCTGGCCAGTATCCTGCCTTATCAAAAGTGGCCATAGCTGCCTGCACCATCTTCCATGGACCCATGGTGGAATCCTCTTTTAACACAATGGGAGATATAATGGATCCAAAATCTTCCAACATGGCAGTTGAGACATATAATTCAATTCAAACTGTCAAATACTTCATTAAATCAAGAGAAACAACAGCAACAAAATTATACAGGAGAGATGATTTTCTTTACAGTCCAATTGATAGACAGCTGACAAGAAATATTATGAAATCAAGCTGTACTTACAGGGAGAGGCTGAAGAAAAGAAATCATGATGAAATGGAAAGAATTAATAAATTACAAGTGAAGAACACAAGTGAATTGGACTCAAAGAAAAAAGCTAAGCTAACACTTCAAGCTGAGGCAGAGAAAGATCTTCAAGCTCATGTCAAACAGCAAGCAAAACAATGAAGATTAAGAATTCTAAAGGCTTTGGCTGAAAAAAGAAAATTGAAAAAATAATTTGTGTCAATTGAAATTGCATTTGAATAAATCAAGGGTTTAAATGTTAATTTAGTTTCCTTTTTCTTGGTGAAAAAATGGTTCTCAGATATCTCTGGAAATTAAATTTTAAGCTCTAGAATATGTGAAACTCCAGGAGCTTCCGGGGGGCTTCGCCCCCCTGGGCCCCCCAGCAGGGCGCTGCCCTGCACCCGCTGGGGGCCTGTAGCGGCCCCAAGACCCCCGACTGATTTTATTTCCTCCTTTTTCTTCCTCTGCCAATCACATCCCTGTTATGGCTATATTTAAGTATCTTAGGTATTTATTGGCTTAGAATCTTCAAACTTTGTGAGTCGATGTATATTTGGTTTTCGGAGAGTGACGACCAAAAAGTAGGTCACGGTGACCTATTTTTGACATTTTATAGCTTTATTTAAGTATCTCCAGTACTAGTTGGCTTAGCATGATCAAACTTTGTGAGTTGATGCATCTTGGGTTTTCAGAGAGTTACGACCAAAAAGTAGGTCATGGTGACCTACTTTTGACCTTTTGTGACTAAAATGAAGTATCTCTTGTACTTATTGACCTAAAATGATCAAACTTTGTCAGTTAATGCATCTTGGGTCTTCAGAGATTGTCGACCAAAAATTAGGTCACAGTGACCTACTTTTGACATTTTATGGCTATCTTTAATTATCTCAGGCACTTGGGTTTTCGGAGAATGTCGGCCAAAAAGTAGGTCACGGTGACCTACTTTTGAATATCTCAGGTATGTATTAGCTTAGAATCATCAAACTTGGTCAGTTTAGGCACCTTGGGTTTTCGGAGAAAGTCGACCAAAAAGTAGGTCACTGTGACCTACTTTTGACATTTTATGGCTGTATTTAATTATATTTAATATAAATCTGGTACTTATTGGCTCGGAATTATCAAACTTTGTCAGTTGAGGCATCTTAGGGTTTCATTGAATGTCCAACAAGAAGTAGGTCACGATGACCTAATTTTGAATATCTCGAGTACTTATTGGTTTAGAATCTTCAAATTTTGTCAGTTTAGGCATTTTTGGTTTTTTAATAACGTCGACCAAAAAGTAGGTCACCGTGACCTACTTTTGACATTTGTTGGCTATATTTAATTATCTCTGGTACTAATTGGCTTAGAATCGTCAAACTTTGTAAGATGATGCATCTTGGGTTTTCAGAGAATGTTGACCAAAAAGTAAGTCATGGTGACCTACTTTTGAATATCTCAGGTACTTATTTAATTAGAATCATCAGTCTTTGTCAATTTATGTATCTTGAGTCCTCAGAAAATTTCAATTAAAAGGTAGGTCACTGTGACCTGGTATTTTATTATTATATATTATATCTTCAGTCTTAACTGGCTAAATATTATCAAACTTTGTAAGTTGATACATTTTGGGTCTTATGATACTAATAGAGTTGGAGGCTTCTAATAGAAGTGATAGATTGTACAATTTATCAGAAGAGCGATTCAAGGCCCTTGGGCCTCTTGTTTATCTTAAAAAATCGCCGATATTTCCATTTGTAACCTTAATTGTGCTGCGCAAGGCCTTGGCTGTTCTGTAGGCAGTGTCTGAAGACACAACGTATGTGGTTCCGAACTGGGTGCCGTTGGCATACCGTCTCATCTGGATGTTTTTCCAGAACGAGAAGTGTCATTTTTGGTCTCTCTTTAAAAGTAAATACAAAAATTTAATTCACATTTGTAACGTCGCAGTAGTTTCAAAGAGAGATAACTCTAAATTTCAAATCATCGAATGAATTACGCAAAGTTAGTTTTAAAGTATATTTACAATTATTACACAATATAAAAAAAATTACAACAATATCCAAGAATCACACACATATCATTTTCAATATTAAAACAATAAAGTAATCCAAAGTAAACGTCTATGTACAAGTTCAGCAAGTGATTGACATAAAAACAAGTATCAATGTATAAACTAATCTTGGTTAAAAAAAATCTGCTGAAATTTGGCACAATATCCTTGACGCGATCGAGGAATTCTCTACCCCTCCCTGTTCCAACACTGTGGACAGTATTATTTTCTGCCACCAAAGCAAAATTTGGCAAACCCATATTTTCCAATCGCCTACTCTACAAATATAAATCAATTTAAATTATTAAAAAATATTTAACTGAAAAGAAAACTCATAAACATGTAAAGAAATCAGCATTTTTTTCTAAATAACAGCATGCAGAAACCTAGACTTAGAAATTCCATGATATATAATACAAACTGATAGCATTCAACAAACA